TGCAGGGTAGTTCACTAATCCTAATCATAAACTGGACTTCTAAGAAACCCAAAGGTGTTGGTATTAAGAGGATTTTGAGATATATTCCCCCCCCCCCCATTCTTAAAAGAAATTAACAACAACCAAAGAGGACTTTCCAGGAGCTATCATAAGCAAGGCTTTGGAATACTTTTGTCTTCATTCTGCTATTTCAATGCCTTATTTTAAGATGAGATATTCTTATTCAAAAGGCTCGTCAGATTTTGTAGGTTAATCAACAGCCATAACCTTATGAACTTTGTCTTATTTTTCACAGCCTAATAATTTTTTACTTCAGTGAAAGTTAATCACTACTGCTTGGAACAAAAATTAGACAAACTAAGTGAGTGTACTTTTGCCAACGTCATATTCCTAGAGTGGGAATTTAAAAGACAGTGTCTAAAATAGAATGCATGTGTGCCTCAACCTGAGAACAAAGAGCAATAATTCATAATGAGCCCCATGGAGTAAAAGCAAGACTGTACCAAGTCTTCTGATATTTCCTCCTAGATGTTCAGTGATTGACAGGACTTCTTGAATGTTATATGAAAAGTTTTCATGGTTTTGCCACATCATGCTTGTTTTTCTAGGCTAAAACTCTTGCAGCCATGCCTGGAGTAGGGTTTTCGGTCTTCAATCCAGTAGGCTACCTGTGGAGTTTACCCAGAAGGCTTTAACCTGTCCATGCATGCTTCCTTTGCCAGTCTTTATACATAGGTGGTGTGTGGGGGTTCCCATCAAGCCCCCTTTAGTTAGAAGCTTTCATTTTCACAATAGAACCTTAAACTACCCTCCTCCTGGTTGGTATACAAAGCATATGAATTACTCAATACCTCAAAGTTTCTGCCCCTGAGTTTGGCCAGTGATAATGACCTTGTACTCTTTACTCTATTAGCAACAGCCCTATGATTTTTGGAGGACTGTAAAATATGTGCGTGCAAGACCTTTATTCCTCCAAATCAGAGAGGCAGGGCAGATGGTTACTTGGAGCACTCACCATCCTGCCAGTGTGAATCACAATGCTTTTCCCTTCTGGGCATGCATTCAGCCACAAAACTTCCCAGCACCATTATTCAGGCAGCAAGCCTGAGTGGACTGGAGTGGAAATGCCAGTGGAGAGCTACTTGCCATCCCCAGGGACAATAAATCAATGGTAGCCTGGATCCGGCCAGAGCATTCCGCTGCACAGCAAAGTTTGGCTAATCGGCAGCACTGAGTTACTACTTGTGCCTTGCAGTGGGAGCGGTGATTTACATTGAGGGGGGCTGTGTGTAACTCCTTATGACACTTATGACACTTAGCTTTATGAGGAATCAGGATCTTGCTTGGTACTAACAATCAGTAAAGACTGTATGTCTCAATATCTATCAAAAGAGAATTCCAGCATTTATTTTCTGAACACTGCACAACCTTACATAATTGTTCTCTCTTTCTCTGGGCACGGAGAAGTTCACAGCCACATCTCTGGCCCGCCTTTAGCAAGGACGTTTTCCTTTGTCCTCAAAGGAAGAAGTTCAGGACCCAAGGACTTGCCTACTCATTTATCTTATTCTTAGTGGCATTATTTTCCTCCTCACAAATCCCTCTTTCCTTAATTCCTTCAACATCATTCATCAGCAATATTTATAGAGCATCTGTGGATGTGTCAGTTGCTGTGTTAAGTGCTGGGAATACAAAGTTGAACAAACCGGTGAAAGTCCAGTCTCTTACAAATTTACATTCTAGTAAACCACCAACCAACAAATAAGCCAGTATCCAAATCAAATGGTGAGAAACACCAGGAGGAAAATGAAGCGGGTAATGTGATAGAGCTGGAGAGGTGGGACTGCCACTCCAAGGACCTTTCATAGAACTGCAGATTTGCACCTCCCAGGAACTTTGGTGACATGCAGAATTTCAGGTCATATCTCAGAACTACTGAATCAACCTGCATCATAACGTGATCTCCAGGTGATTCCTGCGTCCAGTACACATTGAGAGACTGGCTGCAACTTCAGAAATGGTTGTTAGGAAAACACTCTTAAGAGATGACATTTTAGGGCCTCCCCGGTGGCGCAGCGGTTGAGCGCTGGGTTGCGAGGCTGCCCGCGGCCTCTGCGGCGCCGGTTCGATCCCTGGCTGCTCCCCGGCCACTGGAGGAGGGTCCCACATGGCGAGCAGACCTCTCCTGCCGCCCGCTGCTCCCCTCAGCAGTGTACTTCGGTCCTTCTGCCTGCTCTGCTCCCTGCTCTGGCTCTGGTGAATTCTCTCACCCTCCCGCACTTCTGACTGTACCCAGTGCATGTATAAACAAAACAAACAAACAAACCAGCAAACAAATAAATAAAGCATGCCTCTATTAAAAAAAAAAATTAAAAAAAAAAAAAAGAGATGACATTTTAGCTGGGGACTGAATGGGGAGTAGGGGGATTCAGCCATATAAAACCAGGCAGAGTGGTCCAAACAATAGGAACAGCAAAGGGAAATGTTCTGCAGTAGGAATGGACAGGGAAGACCAGTGTGGGTGAGGCAGAGAGAGAAGGGCCTTGAATTCTCTACTACTGAACATTTATCAAAACCCTATAATGAGAATTGTTGATTTGGGGTGACTGCACCAAAAATCCTGCTTGTGAGACCTCTATTTCTACAAATCAGAGACACCAAATAGATTTTTGCATGCAGTGACTCACCCTATCATTTTTGGAGGACTGCCATCCAGGGGAAAGAGATGGAAAAGCTACCCTGGATTAAGCCCGATCATTGAGCCTTGGGTCATGGGATGAAGAAGACAGTTTTGATGGAGCATAGAATTGTTGAATACACTGTCCTTTGTGATTGCCAGCATTTACATTAAGGATACCTATGTTTTGGATGGCACTGGAAGGGATCATGCTCAGCGAAATAAGCCAAAAAGAAAAAGAAAAATACCGGATGGTCTCACTCATAGCAGGAATCTAGAAAACTTAAATAAGGGACCAGGAAAATGAATATAAGAAAGTGAAAATCAAAATCAACAAAAAAACTATGAACCAGAGACACTTTTTGGGGGGGGGGGGCGGGAGGGGAAGGATTGGGGTCAGAATGGGGCGTTTGCAATTGTATGGGGGAATATAAAAATAAAATTTAATATTTAAAAAAAAAAAAAAAAAAAAAAAGGATACCTATGTTTAACTATTTACAACACTTATTTCCCACCTTAGTTCATGATTTCACCTTTGTGAATTAATGGGATTTCCCTTAGGACTGAAATTCAAGAAAAACTATGCTTCTAAAAAATAATAAAAAAAAAAGGTTCATTTTTATCTTATGAACACTGAGAAACCTCAAAACAATTGCTATTTCCTCTTTCTCTGGCCATTCAAATTTAATCAAATCTCCCACCACTTTAAATAACAATTTTGGAGGAGGGGCCTGCATACTTAGACGCTAACTTTATTAGTTTCCTTCCACTAAAAGTCTCCCCTCACACACCTTTTTGGTGCCTTAACTATTTTACCAGCAATGTCCGTATTTTACTAGTAATGGCTATATTTTAGCAGTAACGTCTGAATTCATTTGTGGAAGACGGTAAGGTGAACTAACTATAAAAGTCAACTCAGAAATTTAAACAGGCTGTCTTTGGACCATTTTCTGTGCATTCATTTTTCATGAAAAATGACTAACAGTTGCAACATTTTATAAATGAAGCTGGTTTCTCAGGGTCGGGGTGAGCTTAATAAATATGTTCTATTGAAATTTCTTTTCTCTGTGTTCCTTCTAGTGCAACATTTTGCATATTCCCTCTCCCAATCAGAAATGGAAGAAAAAGAAACCCAATGTGCTAGCATAAAACCTTTATTGTTGGCCTATCAAGAAACAAAAGTAGCAGATCTTAGCTTTGGGATTGTTATCTTCCAGAGTGAAGAGGTCTATTGTGTAAAGCAATGTACTAAGTCCTGTAAAATTGGCTTCCCACATTTACTATCCAAAAGCCTTCCCACTTATCAAATCAAGAAGAGCCGCGGTTGCCAAATCCTTTACCACCGTTGCCATTTCTCTCACTATCTGGTCTCCAACCCATATTGCGACAACTTCAGATTATAAACTCCCCGAAGGCTTGTTTTATTTGTCAGGGAGCTTGTACTCAACAAACATGATTTGAATGAATGAATGAATGAGAGAATTCTGAGCAGGGGGAGAAAAACTGGTTATAACCTCCACGTTTTCTTGTGGACCCACGGTTGTAAATAGAGAGTAAATCTCCCCAGTAATCTCAGGGCGCAGGCAGGGCGGCAAAGAGTTTCAGTGTTAACGTGAGGCCGTATCTCCACTGGTGCTAGGCTGCAAAAGCTCACTAGTGCCTAGGAAAGGTCACCAGGAGAAGAATCAGGAAATACAGGAGGTGTGGAGTCCAGTCATCTAGGTCTACCGAGGGGCTAGGGATCCAGCAACAACAGGGATCCACCGTGTTGGTTTACAGGTCGTGGAAACTGGCTGGAAGCAACTGGATCAAGACATGAAAACCAGGGGGAAGGAAGCGAGCTGCACGCCCCGCTGCGTGTTGGCCTTTCCCTCCTGGCCCACCTGTTGTCATCCTTACAGTGCTGATGATGTTTGGAAAAGGGAGAAACCTGACGGAAGTCATTTTTGTAGCTGAGGCTCTGAAGCCTGCAGCCGGATTTCACCCTCCAAAATGTCGCCAGCGCTCAATTTCTGGGCCCTGAGGGTTTCTCCAGAGATGGGGGGCACGCACTCGACCTCGAGTCCCCGCAACCAACGTACCCCCGGGGGCGGGGGTGTAGGGAGCGCGAGGGTCCCGGGCGCGCCGGAGGGGCGGGGCCTGAGCGGGAAGCAGGAGCGTAACCTCGGAGAAGGGGCGGGCTCTAGCGGAGCCCAGGGGCGTGGCCAGGCCTAAGGGCCCAGGCCCGCGCGGCCTGGAGGGGCGGGGCTAGGGCGCGCAACAGGGCGTGAAAAGGGCGGGGCCCTCTCTGGTGGGCGTGGCCTGGGCTGCGGGGCGTGACCAGGGTGCGTGGCTCTGATGGCCCTGCGCGCGAGCCGTGGGTCCCGACACTGGAGCGAGCCGCGGGTTGGTGCTCTGAGGAGTCGCCAAGGTAAGGGCCGGGGGCCGAGGGGAGTGGGGCCTACTGCGGGGCGGGCCGGGACGAAGGGGACCCACACCCCCCGGCCCCATCGCACCGGGTCCGCGCGCCGTGACAGCTGTGGGTCCCGCGTGCATTGCCGGGCGCTCCGGGGACCGAGGAGGCCAGTGGGGCATCGGCCTCCCCCACGCCGGCCTTCTAAGACGGGAGTCACCAGACGGCTGCGTCTCGGGATTTTCGCGCTGGACGGGAAAACAGCCGTGCCAGGCAAATGGGGCTGGGGTGCTGGGAGGGCAGCTCCCCCGGAGGAAGTGTGCCAGGGGGTGGAGGTGAGTCATTCTAGAAAGTGCAGTCCTCTGTGAAATCGCTGCAGACCCGGGTTGGGGCTGCAGAGCTGACATCACGCTACCACAAACTTGGGCGGGCGCCGCAAGCTGGGACTGACCTGGTCAGCCTTTCATTTCTCCGCGACTGTGCCCGTGTCTGCGGACCCGGTCACAGCCATCCCTCCCCCTCAGCCACCCCCAGGCTGGGGACCTGCGGCACCAGTGTCACGTGGACAAATCTGAGCCTTTTCCATTCCGAAATTCCTCCTGGCCTTTTTGTTTTGTGCCCCACCCCAGAACTAGAGGAGCACCTCCAAAGTACAAACTTTGTGGAGAGTTGTGAGCCTGTGGCTTGGTGTTAAATGCCACTGCCCGGCGGCCGGCAGCAACACGTTCATACTCAAGTAAGTGCCCCCCTCCCCCACCCCGTGTACTTTCACTGGGAGAGTTTGAGAAATGCAAGAGTTTAAGGGGTACACCTTAATTAGAAAGGAACTTGCTCTGCCCCAGCTGCTTTTTGCTTCCCCTTCTTCCTTTACTGACAACCTGGCCATCTCCACTCTGCTGGGTCTGGTTGGAACATGGAAAGGATCAGCAGGCTCAACCTAGTGAGAGAAGCCGCCCCAGCCCTTGTCCTTGCACATCCCCAACGGGCACTCATTGTTCCCAGATTCGATGGAAATAGAAAACCTTTCAGCTATCTAGGGCCTTCCTCCTTCACTGAGATCATTTTTATGCCAGCACCAGCACAGAAATTCACTGCAAGGCCAAGTGCACCAAGGGCACTGCTCCTGTACCTGTCCACTCCTATCCCGTTGTCCATGGGGCCGCGCAAAAGCTGTGACGGCTCACAGCTGGAACGCGTAAAGACTGGAGAGAGTTGTCAGTGAATGAGTTGTCAGTGAATGAGTGAATCTGAACATTTTGGAAATCTAGTGGAAAGAGGAAAACGAGTGGTATCTCACTGGCTGTTAGTTGCAGCACACAAAGAAGTGCTAGAAATTATTTTGAAACCTCTGGCAACCCCAGATCAGGATGCACTCAGAGAAGTGGGTGAGAGGAAGACACCCGGCTTTCTCAATCCAGACCTGGCAACAGAAGGTCTGATTTACGTTTCAGGGAATTGCAAAAACTTTTCTTTGGAAATCGGTAGGTGAGAAAATAAAGGGTGCATTTGATGAGAATCAAGGTGTTCTTTTTTTCTTCCCAATGTCGTCTTTACTCAGAGTACTATTTTGCCTGTTGTCTGTTTTGCATAAATATAAGTGACTTAATCAGGCTGAGTTCAGACTACTTGCTATTTAATACATGGCTTAAATGAGCCTTTAAAGACTTTCAGAATCTTGCCCTTTTCCACACATTTGCAAGTCTGCAAAATGATAGCTAAGAGATGTGTTAGTAAAATCCAAGGCCCGACATAAATAATTAGTGACAGTAAAGGCACAGGGTAGAGAAAACAGCTCTGCTGGGGCCCATCTAGCCCAGGGCCCATCCTGAAGGACAGACTTACACAAGGACAAATTTCCTGTGAAATCCAGTAATGTATGCTAATAGTTCATCATTATGTATTATGTCTGACAAGGAAACATTATTTGTGGTTTCACAAGCTTGGGTTTTATGAGATCAGTGGGTAATTTTAACCACTTCTCAATAAATTATAACTTTGAATGTAACAAAGGGGATTGGCCTTAGGCTTTCGCATAAAAATAACCCCCTGTTTTGCTGCAGGTGTTGTAGCCTAACAGTAGCTAAATTGAGATTCTGTTTACTGTATGTGGGTTTTCCTGAAACCTGCTCTCCTGAATTTCCAAGCTCTGTGCCTTCCTTGGTTGCCTTCTCCCTCTACTCCTTAGTCACCCCATTTTGTCATTCTCCCTCCATATACCTGCTACTCCCTGGGCGGGGAGTTCCCTTCTCTCTGACTCTTGTCCTCTCCTGAGCACCAGAGCTGAGTTGCCCAGTCTCCCCCGAACCTTTCCTCTCAGCTCTCTCCCCCCAGTCCCCTGAAATCCATAGGATTAGCAGGAAGAGGGCCCTCTCTGCCTTCACCTGTTCCTCATATTGGGTTCTGTTGCTCTGTTCAGGGATTCATCCTCATCCTACCCGCAGCCTCGCTCCAGCCATGAAAACACAAAGCCTTCATCTTCTGTCCTTTTCTCTGCTCCACTTGAATGCCAACCGTATGGTTTATGTTTTGTTTTGTTTTTTAATGTTTATTTATTTATGCAGACAAGAACTAGGGTACAGGCCAGAGGTGTGGGGGGTGAGAGGATTCACCAGAGACAGAGTGGGGAGCAGAACAGGCAGAATGACCGAAATACACGCTGAGGGGAGGGGAGCAGTGGGTGAGACAGGAGAGGTCTGCTGCTCCAAGCGGGTCACCTCCCTGGCCGGGGATCGAATTTGTGTTGCAGTGGCTGCGGATAGCTTCATAGGTTGTCTTAACCCCTTGCACCACCAGGGAGGCCCCTGATTTATGTTTTTTTTTTTTAAAAACCAAATTGGTTGTCTCAGATATGAAGTGCCTTGTCTGTGTCTACTGTCACTGTCCAGTTGAATGCTTCACATTCTCTCATTTGGATTATTGCAATCTTATTTGAACCTTCACATGCCCAAATCTGAGCTATTGCTTTCCCACCCAAAACCTGTTCCATACACTGCCTTTCCCTCTCAGTTCGTGGCAACTCTGTCTTCCACTGGCTTGGGCCCAGAATCTTCCAGTCATCCCTGCCTCCTTTCTTTCACATCTTACAGGTTAATACCTGCAAGATAATATCTAGCACGCAATCACCTCTTTCCACCTCCACTGCAATATCCTTGGTTCCAGCCCCTGGATTATCCCGAGTGGTCTCCCTGCTCTTTCCTCTCCCACCCCAGTCGATGCCCAATAGGGTGCCCTGAGTGATCTTTTGAAAAATATAAAACAGGTTATGTCCCTTCTCTGCTCCCAGAATGCCTCAGTGTCCCCATTTCACCCACAGCAGCCATTCTGTCAAAGGTGACCCCCTCTTCAGAGACATCTGCAATGTTTGGAGACATCTGTGGTTATCTTGGAGGGAGGCGGCCATGCTACCTAGTGGGTAGGGGCCAAGGATGCTGCTCAACATACTACAATGCAAGGGACAGTTCCAGACAACAACATTATTCATTCAGAAATGCCCACATGTGGGCCTCCCTCATGGCTCAGGGGTTAAAGTCTCAGTGCTATCAAGCTATCACCAGCCACTGTGGCCTGAGTTCAATCCCCGGCCAGGAAGCTGACCCTCATGGCATAGCAGACCTCTCCTGTCTCGCCCGCTGCTCCCCTCAGCAGTGGATTTCAGTCAGTCTGCCTGTTCTGCTCCCCACTCTGTCTCTGGTGACTCCTCTCATCCCCCCCACCCCCCGCACCCGTACCTCTGGCCCCAGTTCTTGTATGCATAAATAAATAAAAATAAACTTAAAAAAATATGCCCGCATGCCAAGGTTAAGAAACTTGAGTTAGAGAAAGAATCTTTACAATGGCTTCGAAATCTGACATCCATTACTTGGTCTGACATCCATTACTTCCCCTCCTGATCTCCTAGTTCCCTCCTCCTGGTTCCCTCTACTCCTGCCATATTGGTCTCCTTACTGTAGCTTGTATGTGCCGGACAGGCTCACACCTCAGGGGCTTTGCCGGGTCTCCCCTCCTCCTAATAACCATCTGACTAATTCCTTCACCTCTTTCAATTCTTGGCTCAAATTCCACCTTCTCTATAAGACCTCCCCTGAGTAACTTAAAAATGAAACACCCCCTTTCCAGTGGCACGCCAAATTTACCTTGTCCTGCTCTACTTTTCACTGAACATATTTTAATTGTCTCTACAAGGGACTTAAGTATTACATTGTTGTTTATTGTCTGTCTCCCCTACTAGACTATAAGCTCCACAAAGATAGTGACTTTATTTCCCCGGTGAGCCTAGAACAGTGTCTGACTTTCGATAGCTCTTTGAGTGATGTCTTGATGAATGAAAGAATGAAAGAGTGATGGTTGAAGAAATCACTTTGTATTTTACTTGGACTTCTGCCATCCATCTTGTGCTGACAGTCATGAGAAACGCTCAGTGCTTTCTCCTATATACCTGGGAATAAGGTCTGAAAGTCTAGTTTCACGGAAATTCATATTCCCTGAATTAATCTCAAATCACCGTCTAGGCCCACCTTCCACTGTGTTCCCTGGGCATCAGCTTGACCAACACCTTAAACAAATATTCATAGCAGATTTGGATGATGCTTTGTTATATAAAGCAGGTTTCTGTTTGGCTTTTTCTCTAAGAACAAAAAAGCTAATCTTCAGAGTCGGGGGCCCCCCTGCGCCCCTGGGTGGGCTTTCTGCAGGAGCACGATGACCAAGAGGGTGAGGATAATATCAGGTCCTCTGAGCTCTTGTGTCCCTCTAGCCCTAAGAGCCATTCTGGAAGGACCGATGGACACTTCCGCAGGTCAGATATCATCAGTGGCCATTGGTCTGTGCGCTGGGCACGAAAGCAGGACTGCAGAGTGCGGAGCAGCCCCCAGAGCATGCCCACCGCCCTGGCGGTCAGCCACCAGCTGCCATGCCAGCTCTGCCTGCCTCGATGCTTTCCTGATGGCTCTTAGTAGAACTAGACCAAGGATCACTTGCCCCGATTCCTTGGGGACTGTGCTAACAGGCCTCAGCCCCATGTGACCCTTGTGCAATGCCAAGTGTGCACCCACTTGTCTGTACTACTACTGTGGGTTCAGGTATGCCCTTGGCTTTCTTTTACACAACCTTCCCTTTCAAGAACAAACCAGCATGTCCCTCTGTTGAGTCTAAGTTGCACTTGGCGTTGTCTTTCCTAGGAATTACCAAGTCTCTTTTTCCATCCAGATTGTAGGCAAGAAATTATTTTCTGCGTGTTTGCCCACTTCCCCCTGACACAGATGAATTATTGAATAAACTCAAGGTCTGTCTTTTTCAACTCCAGTTGTCCTCTCTGGTCGGGCTTCTAAGCTCCCCACCCCCTCAAATGTCCTCAACATTCCAACATTACCCCTGTCCATCTCTCTACCTTTGTGCCGCCTGTTAAAATGATCTCTGTCCTATGGTTCAAATGCCACCCCCTCCTAAAACTTAAAGCCTCCGCCCTTTGTGTTCACATGACTTACCTCAGGGTTGTTACCACGTCTGCCTTTAAAATAAGAAGTACTTTAGCTACAGTTTTGCTTTCCCTGCTTTCAGTTGCCCACAGTCAGCCACCATCTGCAAATGTTACATACAGTAAGATATTTTGAGAGGGAGAGACCACCTTTATTGGGGACCATGACACTGGAGGGTTCTGGGTGTCTTTCGAGAAAAGAATTTCATGAAGAACCAGAATAAAGCTGGAAACAAAGTTTATGAGGAAGCCACAGTCCACTGGCAAGAAGGCAGTGGCCATCTCAGCCTGAGAGCTGCTCAGAGCAGCAAGGCAGTAGGGTTTTTAAGGTTTTTTTTTTTTAACCCTGGTGGCACAAGGGTTTAAGTCTCAGCACTATCAAGCTATCTCCAGCCACTGCAGCCTGAGTTTGATCCCTGATCCGTGGCCAGGGAGCTACCCACATGGCACAGCAGACCTCTCTTAACTTGCCCGCTGCTCCCCCCAGCAGTGTATTTCGTCAGTCTGCCTGTTCTGCTCCCTGCTCTGTCTCTGGTGAATCCTCTCACCTCCCGCACCTCCGGCCTATGCCCCAGCTCTTGTATGCATAAATAAATAAAAATAAATCTTTTTTTAAAAAAGGTTTTTTTCTTTCCAAGGGGAGAGAAATGCCTACTTGCTCCCATCACTCCTCCCGATTCCTGCAATTTGAAATCCCCACCCCTCTGTCTTTTTGAGGGTGGGGGGAAGGAACTGTGTTAACAGACTCTTCCCACAGAGAGAATGGACTTATAGAGTGTTACTTGTTCAACAACTTTTTTTTTCTTGCAGCTCTGGTTCTGGATTCTTGCTTAAGTTGAAGGGTATACAGTAAACCTTAACCTTAAACAAACACTTCACTTCATATAATTCCTTTGTTCTGCTGAACCACACTGATAAATTTTACAGTTTCATGCTGTGCACAGTCTTACAAGTCAGAAAGAAGCATAAAGTTCTTTTTTTAAAAGATTTATTTATTTATGCATACAAGAACTGGGGTACAGGGCCTCCCCGGTGGCGCAGTGGGTTGAGCGCAGTGCTGTGAAGCTGTCTGTGGCCTCTGTAGTGTGGGTTCGACTCCTGGCTGGCCAGGGAGAAATCCACAAGGCGAGGCAGACCTCTTCTGTCTCGCCCACTGCTCCCCTCAGCAGTGTATTTTGGTCATCTGCCAGTTCTGCTCCCCGCTCTGTCTCTGGTGAATCCTCTCACCCTCCCGTGCGTGTGAGAGGATTCACCAGAGACAGAGTGGGGAGCAGAACAGGCAGACGGACTGAAGAAGACACTGCTGAGGGAAGCAGTGGGTGAGGCAGGAGAGGTCTGCCTCTCCATGTGGGTTTCTCCCTGGCCGGCTGGGAGTCAAACCCGCGCTGCAGGGGCTACAGACAGCTTCACAGTGCAGCGCTCAACCTGCTGCACCACTGGGGAGGCCCAAATAAATAAAATCTTAAAAAAAAAAAAAGAACTGGGGTACAGGCTAGATGTGTGGGGGGTGAGAGGACTCACCAGAGACAGAGAGAGGAACAGAACAGGCAGACTAACTGAAATACACTGCTGAGGGGAGCAGCAGGTGAGACAGGAGAGGTCTGCTGCGCCATGTGGGTTGCTCCCTGGCCGGGGATCGAACTTGTGCTGCAGTGGCTGCAGATAGCTTCATAGGTTGCGTCTTAACCCCTTGCGCCACCAGGGAGGCCCAAGAAGCATAAAGTTCTTAACCTGAGCTCTCATGGAACGTGAGGGTGGAGGTATCGAGAGAGAATTATGGGATAAGTAGGAACTGAGAAAATCTATTTGGGTGACTGGACTTTTTGGCCATGTTTTTAATTTTGAAAAATTGATAGTTTTCATGTTCTGTAAATGAGCTATTATTGGAGACTGCTTCATGCAGACAGTTTTTTAAAGATTTATATATTTATGCATACAAGAGCTGGGGTGCTGGCCAGAGGTGCAAGGAAGTGAGAGGACCCACCAGAGACAGAGTGGGGAGCAGAACAGGCAGATTGACTGAAATCCACTGGTGAGGGGAGCAGCAGGAGAGACAGGAGAGGTCTGCTGTGCCATGTGGGTCAGCTCCCTGGCCAGGGATCAAACTCGTGCTGCAGAGGCAGCGGATAGCTTCATAGTGCTGCAACTTAACCCCTTGTGCCACCAGGGAGGCCCCCATACAGACAATTTTTATGGAGAAGAAACTATGAACTTGGAGGATATTTTCTCATGAAAAATGCAAACATAGAAGAGTTTCTAAGATGTCTGGGATTTGCTTCAAAATAATCCATGAAGGGCCTCCTTGGTGGCCTAGACATACATGGTTTTATTATAGTATTTACATCGATTGTGTACTTTTTCCAAAATAAAAAAGAAAAAACCAAGAGGAAAGGGCAGAAATGGATTTTCAGTTGAGCTGGCCAATGGTCTATTATTTTTTAAGCCCGCTCAGTTAATTCAGTTAATGAAAGTATTTGAAAACAAAACTCTTATGTGGCTCAAGGCACTACTAAGATAATATCTTGAACGTTTATTGCCCTTTCACATATCTTGAGTCACAATTTCGCATATCTTAATTAAGAAAGGTGCATTTGGACATAGCTGAGCCCTCCCGAAGATGTCTACACACAAAGCTGTAAACCAAAGGGATTTTCACTTAGTTTGAGAACTTCAGACGCCTTTTGGCAATGCAGACACTGCCATGAAGAACCCCTGGGGGGCCGTGAGGCCTGCCTGTGGGAGCCACCGTGGACTTGCCAACTTCTGCCAGTTCCCTTTAAGGTGGTGATGGTGCGTCTCTGCGTGAGTTCTGTGTGCTCACAGAATGCCATACGTGTACAGAGCCATGGGGATGCCATACCTCTAACAGAGCATGTGGCTCCAGGCGGGGAAGACTGGCTACTTGCCATGCTTCCTTTTGCAATACTTGTGCAGGCACATGGCTTGTAGGTAACCAAGTCATAAAGGGCTCTGCCCGGAGCCCTCACTTGTTCCTTGCAGGGCATTAACAGAAAGGAACTCTGTTTCCTGCTTCCATTGGGCACCTTGGGTGTGATCTCCCCTTACCCTTGGGTGTAGCCGTCTCTCATCTAGCTCAGATCTAGGAAAGGAAAACTAGTTCACAGCCGGTTCATCGCAGGAAAGTCCACGAGGAGAGGGCAGGAGGAACAGAATGTTGGCCTCCTGGCTCAGCACGCCTGGGGATGATCGTGTGCTTTTTTGTATCTTGCCCTCTTCTTGGGGAGATGGTAGGAAGAGATAAAGTTCAAGTCATAATGACATGTGTCTTCTTGTCTCTCAGTTTCTCCTTTAGTGCCTTTACACCCCAGTCAAGGTCAAACTGAGGACTCCCTTGGCAGGAGAAGGCAGAATCAGAGGAAGTACTAACACCTACTGGTTTGAGTGTTTCCCAGTCCATGTGCATCATTTTATTGAGGTAAAATTCACTTACCATAAACTGGAGCATGGTAAAGTGTGCAGTTCAGAGCCACTCGGTACACTCACGGTGTTGTGCTGACCATCACCACTGTCTAGCCGCAAAACAAATGTCACCCGAAAAGAAAAACCCTACTCAAGAACGAGCTTCTCCCCACTTCCCTCTCCCCAAGCCCTGGCTCTCAGCAAACTGCTTTCTGTCTCTAGAGTCCCCTATTCTGAGTATTCCATACGAATGGGGTCCTACTGTGTGAGGCCTTGGTGCCTGGCTTCTTAGCTTGATGTTTTCAAGATTTATCACATCTTGCCTGAGCAGAACGTCATTCCTTGTCACAGCCTTCTTTATTTTTGCTTCCCAGCACCCACCATGGTGCCTGGAGCCAAGAATGACACTTAAGGTTGAGAAGAAAATGTGTGTTGGCAGAATGTCCATCCCCGTGGGGCTTGTTTGGTTCCCGTTTGGGGATCTTCCTCTTTGAGGTCAGGCAAGGATTTGGGGGTCCTTTGGATCTTATAGGTAGGACTCTTAGACCCTTCTCTTACAGAACAAGCATTTAAATGTGTTAGGCAAGGACCAGTGAGCCTACATCCAGGAAACGGGAAGAGCCTCAGCCCTGTCTGAGACCATGTTGGCAGTTCTGTCTGAGAACTGGACAGTTTTCAGTTCTTGAAATCAGGATCCATGTCTTCTCTGTCCCTCGGGAAGCCTCTCAGGTCATCCCACTACCACTCACTGAGCACCATGGCATGACAGGAACCGTGTCCCTTAGAGATGCAGCCATGTCCGAAACAGCCATGGTCCCTGCCACCATAGCCTTAGATGTGGGGAGATGGAGGAGTGCGGCCCAGTCCTGGTCAAGTAATGGATTCAGCGGTGGTGAGCACCGCCACTGAGAACCAGAGGCCGCTGATCTCACCGAAAGAGGGCATGATCAAAGGAGGCTTCTAGAAAGCTGTACTGGATGTGATTTTTGAAGGATGGGTAGGCCTGAACCAGGCACAGATGGAGGGAAAGTGGCCCAGGGAAGCTGGGGCATCTGCGCAAGCCTGGAGACCAGCGGGAGCATCTGGAGGTGGAAGAACTAAGGGCCACGTGGCTGGATGTGAGGAGGCCGAGAGGCCAGCAGGGCCAGGGCGCGCGGTCATGCAGCCAAGGCAGTCACGACTGCTCGAAGAACTGTGTGAGTGCATCTGAAGCAATCACGCTGAGCACGGAAATCTATAGTGCTGTGAATGTAGACTCGAGAAAAAAAAACTAGATTTTTTTTTTTTAATTTCCTACCAGCTTTGCTTCCTTGCCACAGGGATATGAATAGTGGATGAGGCAATAGTGGGGAGGTGAGGAGGTGCAAGGGGAAAAAAGCATTCAGTTAATATTAGCACGATGCCTTGAAAAACATCCTCTTCTGAGAATTTCACTGCCAGCATGTGAGAGGTAGAGAGGGCACCAGGGAATATTCAAATTGAATCGGCGTGTACATTACTTCAGGATTAACCTCCATTTCCCCCAAGATCAAGGGGCGTGGTTTACACCTAAAACTGGCAGAGTCACAGATTCTATTCAAGCTTAGATTTCAAAACCTCTCATGGCTGTCTTGGCAGGCTCTAGCACGTTTCTTTTCTTCAGTCATCCAGATGCAGATTAAATTTTTTAATCAGGCTGCCTAGAGGGAGTCTTCTTAACTACACTAATACAGTGCTGGGCAATTCATTTGGATTCTGGGGACTGTCTTTAACGTAAACAGTCTTTTCATTCTCGTGGGTGAAATGAACCATTTCTTTGCACCTCTGCTCTTTACCCCCCTGAAGGGGAAGGCAAAGCAAGGAGTTAGTCACCCAGACCTTGCCAAGGAGGTGACCAATGAATTTGAGGGACAAGAGTGAATAAACTATTGACTCTTGTTTCCCCCCCCACCCCCCTGCTGTGGGCCAGCTGTCTGAGCAGTCTGAATGTTGTCCTACTTACAGGTTTCCACAAGATCTTAATCTGTTATTTTTTTCTTTTCCTCTGTCCTTTTTCTTCCTCTAGGTTATCAGTTTCCTTCAAGTTGTTTGGGAACTGATCGAGATTTCAAGCTAAAATGTTGATGAATAGCCTGAGAGGCATTCTTCAAATCTCTCCATGTAAATCTCTGTGGAGAAGATTCCAGATTCCGGCGACCATGCCAGTGAGGCCCTGCAGCCTCTACACTTGCACTTATAAAACCCGGAACCGAGCCTGTGAGTACACCCTGGCCTTAAAAGAGAGTGAATTGTTTCATAGAAATCAGGTGTGTTCAATGTTTGTCTCTGATGACTATCAGTGGCATATCGTGGTGGTATTATTGGCCTTAACACTTGTGTGAATAGCCAATTGGTCTCTATTTGTTTTTTAAAATAAATGTGGGAAGTTCTTTTCTTGATGAATTTTAACTTGTTGAAATGATGTCATGCAGAAATGGACAAGGGAGATGTCCAGTTTCAAATACTTTGGAACCCTTTCTTTACTGTTTCTTGTTAGCAATTGTTGTTTTGCTGAAGTTGTTCCACGGACTGAATCATTTCTATGAATCTTAACATTCTGGACACTGCATATTAATGTTTGCAAGCAGATCTGTGATTTCTGGAATATTTGTTCTGGAGTTATAAATTGCAGTTAATTCGAGTTGCCAAGTGTGTGCTGTGCTGTAACCACAGCAGATTAAGGAAGGTAGCAGATGGCATCTGAAACCTCTGGCATTTTATTCCACTCCTGAAATACAAATTACCATCACATCCCATCCTGATGGTGTAGATATTCTTCAGCAGGGTTCTGTTGACATGGGGAGGGGGTGTCACTGTGCTATCAAGGCACAGTGTAGTATGCACTCTTGCACTATTAGCAGCCTCCCTGTCCCCTGCCCTCTAGATGCCAATAGCTGCAACCGTTATAACAACCAAAAAATGTTCGCAGACATTACCAGATGAGTTCTGGAGGACAGAACTGCCCCTGCTTAAGAATCACTGAGGTGATAGGAGAAGATAATATATGGATTTGTGGAGAGATGAGTTTGTGGAAAGATTGAACAGCTAAGTATATTCTTAAAGAGGATTTTTTAAAATGTTTTCCATTATTTTAAAGGAATTGAGAAAGAATTTTGAAGTGTTGGTTTCTTTCTAGGTCTAGTTTTCTTCACTTTTCCTCTTTGGGTTTACTCTTTTGACCCCCCCCCCATGCATGTAATAAAGAAGAAATACATAAGGAAGGAATGCTGGTATACTAGTAATGCTAATCCAACTAAATACTAGCACTTGAAACTACTTCACAAATGTGTTCTTGTTATAAGTTCAGTTTGTTTCCTCCAACACAGACTGTGCTTTTATTAAAATGAACTGGCCAAATCATAATTTCTGGTTGCTAGGTGTGGCTTCCTACCAGCAGGACCACATCCTACCCAGACTGGCTTATTTTCAACACTGGCATTTTGCCATGTAAGGCTTAAAATGGAAAAAAAAAGTCATATTTCTCTAGTTACTAAAGTTTTACTTTTAAAGCAGCAAATTGAAAGTTCAAAGTCTAAATTCCAATATGGTTATGTCTTTAGAACATTAAATTACATATATAGCATTTACATTCTCTATAAATGGGGTCAAAAGCCTTTTTTTTTTTTTTTATAGAGGCATGTTTTTATTTATTTATTTATTTGTTTTGTTTATGCATGCACTGGGTACAGTCAGAAGCGCGGGAGGGTGAGAGAATTCACCAGAGCCAGAGCGGGGAGCAGAGCAGGCAGAGGGACCGAAGTACACCGCTGAGGGGAGCAGCAGGCGGCAGGAGAGGTCTGCGCGCCATGTGGGACCCTCCTCCGGTGGCCGGGGAGCAGCTGGGGATCGAACCGGCGCCACAGAGGCCGCGGGCAGCTTCGCAACCCAGCGCTCAACCGCTGCGCCACCAGGGAGGCCCTCAAAAGCCTTTTTATCCTGAGCTAAAGGATGGGCTAGTGCCCTGAAACTTCAAGGAGAGAGGAAGGGGATTCATGACAAAAACCAGATGCCCTGTAATTACATGTTTGCCCTACTATAAATAAGTTTCTCCAACAGGAAGGTTATTTCTGGAGATGACCCTACATCTGGGAAATACCCCCAATTTTCATTCTTTTAGGTTGTTAAGGGAGTGGTAAAGATTTCTTGTGAAGCTGGAGGGCTTCAGTTGATCTCAGTTCAAAATAATTTATATGCCAAAGTGACATTCCTTGGGAAAGCCTGTTCTGAACGTCTTGGGGAGGGCTATATCCTTTGAGGACAGAGATCAACAGTGTCCAGTAAATATAGAATGTGAGCCACTAATAGGGGCCATACAGGTAATTACTAATTAATTACTAATTGAATTTTACTAAATAAAATTAAAATGTACTAATTTCATTAATACAGTAAATGTATAGCTAAAATTAATTTTAGTAATTTACTATTAATTTAAAAAAATATATCCAAAATATATATTTACATGAAATGAATACAACGATTATATGAGAAATATTTTATCCTTTTTGTTTTATACTTAGTCTTCAAAGTCCCTCGATAGCTTACATTTATATCATATCTCAATTTCAACTTGGGCAAATGGCTACCATAGTAAACAGTGCAGGTACAGAGAGTGGTTGCTCAGGAATAAGAGCAGATGAAGGTTTGCTTAATGTAGTGTGGCTATCAGGAGGGGGCTCAACTGACTGGGCAGAAACAGAGAAACAGGCAGATGTGATCTTGCAGGAGGTATTCTGGGGTACACCTGCTTCCCTGGGTATGAGGTAAGGGGTAGAGAGCCTTGGTATGGACTTGTTTGGTTTTCTCTATCAGTAAAATAAGCGTTAAGTCCCTCCCTTGTGCCTGGTACCAAGTTTAGCCCTAGGACTGTAGAAAAAGTGCAGGACACAGATCCTACCAGCTTGGAGTTGACACAGGCCCTATGAACAGATAAAGCAAATACACATTACATCAGAATGGTTGGGTGCTCAATGGTGTAAGAACAGATGCAGTGTGAGTTCAGAAGGAAAGATCAGAGTGATTGGAGAAAATGTCAAGACCAGAGTTTGGGAAGATGGAGCAGAGGGGAGTGAGAGAAGGAAAATATCAAGAGGCATGGCATGAAGTCTGCCCTGTAAGGAGTGCGGGGAGTCATGAACTAGGCTGTGGTCATGGGCAAGGCAAA